GAGCTATGTTGGCAGTTGTGAGTATGTGTGGAATCACAGACCCTCCACCTGTCCCAGGTGGGTGAGGACATAGACCAGAGGCAGCTCAGGCTCCCTGCACAACTGGCAGGTGGTGGGTCAATCGTGGCTCCCCACAGCGTGGGCTGCAGCTCCAAGACCCCACTCCTCCAGCTGGAGCCAGGTTGGGGAAACCTGTGTGGGCAGAATACAGGGAGACCTTCCTTGGTGGGGGCCTGTAACATAGGCAGTGGACCTGCCTTGGACTGGAGTTTCTGGGGGGCTGCAGCTGTTGCTTGTGCCGCCTGCCCACCTGGCAGTCAGGGGCAATGCTGCCTGCACAGCATCCCAGGGTTGGGGGAACACTCAAGCAGCCTTGGGCTGATGGGAGACTCTCTGGCTCTGATGAGAGAAGGGGGTGGGCCAGCCTGGGGCTAGCATCCCCCAGCCTTTGGTTCACCATGCACCCATGTTGAGCACCTCCTGGGCACTGAGGTGTGTTAAGTCTCTTGAAGAAGTGGGCTCACGGTTGATCTTTCAAACTTACTCTCTCGACATTCACAAACCTGCTGTTTATTAACCTCTGGCTTGGTGTCATCAAACCCCACATATAGGCTTGGAAGGATGTGATTATCATGAGTGAACATTGATAAACATCAATTTCACTGCACACACACAAATCCAACTGAAAATATTTCCCTTAGTGATCATCAACTTTTATGAGTAGGAACTAGTGTTCCCTAAAATCTGTGCAGCTCAGGAGAGATTCAAATGTCACCCAACTGATTAGCAGGGCGCCCACGGCCAGGTTTTTTGTTTCTAATTGTGGTGCACATTCACACGTGCCTCAGTACACATAAAAATTTATGGCCCATGGACAGAAAAGATGAGAGGAAACATTGAAAGACAAAGGGTACGTCTACACTGCAACACTATTTCAAAATAACTAGTGCTATTCTGAAATAACTGATTCCGCATCTACGTAGCAGGCAGTTATTTCGAAAGTGCTAAAATACTGTCAGGCTGGAGGACTTCTTACTCAGACTCCTGTAACACTCATCGTACAAGGAATAAGGGAAGTCAGAGGAAGAGTGCTCTATTTCCAAATAAGTGATTAACAGATGCTCCCTATTTCAAAATAAGATAGCAATTGACATAGCACAATTTGCTTATTTCAACTTAAGCCCTGCAGTGTAGATGCACCCAAAAAAGTAAGAAAAATGCTGCTTGTGAGCACTCACTCGATCGAAACCTATTTACCTTGTACATTTGGACACGTCGCCTTGACCCTTTAACTGTGAAAATGCGTCAATAAAAACTGAGGGTGGATGAGGGGTTAAACCCCATAGTTCTGCTCCATTGTGAAAATACAACTAGAGGAAGAGGGGCAATGGTTACACATCCGGCCTACCCGTGTCTACGAACCCCTGAATCCTGCCGTGCGCCAGGCTCACGTCCGTGCCGCCGCGGGGTCTGCCCCGCACCGCAGGGGGGGCTGCCCGGACCAGAGCGCACAGGCCGAGGCGCCTGCGAGCAGCCGTGTGGGGGCAGGTTT